AGGGCAGCAGAGGAGGCAGCACGGAGACACAGAGCAGCTGGGGTTTCCCAGCCCATGTACCGAGGAAAGCTGAGTGCCTATGGACAGGAGACTGGCTTACAGTGTGTGTCTTCAGGCATTTACAGACTTGCTAAATGAGTTTTGTAGCACTTCCTGGAGCAGGGTAGAGACCAAGGAACCTGAGTGAGGCGTGCCAGCAGTATGGCAGACCAGAGGCGTTTCTGACAGAAGAACTGTGCATCTTGAGTTGTTTCTGATCCTGAATTGTACCCTGTTCATGGCTCTAAAAAACCCCATAATCGTGAGGATTGTTCTGAGTTCTGTGTGGCCATTGCAATGGATTATGGAAACCAGATGTGAAGCAGAGAGTGCTGTGGGAGGAATGGCTGGTATCAGGACAGAGAAGGCTGTAGCATGGAGGCATGTCAGAACTCTACCACATAGCAATTAGCCTTGGGCTGATTTTGAGTTTGATTCTCCTTCCTCCTTCTGATGTTAGAGGCAGTCAGACAGGGTCTCCCTGTGACTTTTGCAACCCCACAGACACATAGTAATTGCATACAAACCATCCATACCACTCCAGGGTCTCTGTGTGTATATGAGGGTGCTTTAAAAAAGTTCATGGGAAAAAATCCATTATCTTTCCATTCCATTTTCACGTGAACTTTTTGAGGCCCACTCCCACCACCCAACCCGGTATGTGCGTAAACTATTTCTGTCAGAATAATGAAGAGAGTTCACACCGATTGATTCTGGGAAGAACTAGAGAAACAAAGACAGAATGCTCACTTTCTTTTCATAAAACACCTTTTGTGTCAGTTGAATTTTGTACCATCTGAATAGCTCATTCAAAAAAGAAATTCTTATAAATGAAGATTATTGCAAACATAAAAGTAACAAAACCCACAAGGCTCAGCTTCCTATAAGGTGAGCCAGGAGGCTGTCATGACGGTAAAGACCCAGAATGGAAAAGTTGTAGCTTACGGCTGGAGATGCAGTATGACAGTCTGCAGTTGATCTTCCTGAAGAGCTGCTTGTTGAGTGGCCACAGGATCAGAGTGCAGAGCTGAATGGTGTTTACTATGAGCCCCGAGGCAATGAAGACGTAACAGAAGATAAGATGGCACAGAAACTGAGACTTCAGCAACCCAATGAGGTCCATGGTGTGGGTGGGGCTAGTGTTGTTGGAAAATAAATAAATAGACGCAGCAGGGTACGTACATCCAGGGGCGGGAACAGTCAGGACTCAGGACAGCGTCTAAAAGACAAACCAACGTCACATGTTAAGACACAATGGCATGTGCCGTTGTCATCAGAAAAACAGAGACGTGCTCTTGAAAGAAAAACACCCACTTGAGATGAAACCCATTGAACAGAAGTTGGTTTATGTGTGGCACTGTGGGATAAAGCACTGGACCACAAGGTTGGTTTGAACCACAAGGTCAACAGTTCAAAGTCAACAGCCGCTCCTTAGAAACCCTATATAGGACCACTATGAGTCAGAATAGACTTAATGGGACTTAACAACATCGAGTCAGGATGAATTTGATGGCAGTGATTTGGTTTTGGTTTGTATGAAATCTGTACTACTATGCCATTTTATAGTTGAGAGATTAGAGGCCTGAAGGGTTAATGGAGCACTCCAAGGAGTGCTGGTGGCACAACAGTCAAGCATTCAGCCAAAAGGCTGGAGATCTGAACCCACCAGCAGCTCTGAGGGAGAAAGACCTAGAGACCTACGCCCATAAAGACTACAGTCTAGGACACCCCCAGGCTCGAGCTTGCCCTGAGCTTGTGATGTGAATAGAATTGTGTCCCCAGGAGGGACTGAAGTTTGAACCCCTAGAATCTTTGAACAGGTCCTTGTTTGTAAATAGGGTTTTAAGGACGTTCTCAGTAAACATGAGTTCATACTAGAGTGGGGTGAAGGCTAACCCAATATGTACTAAGAATCCAATATGTTTTGATAATCCAATGTTGTTATGTGCCATTGAGTCAGTTCTGACTCAGCTGCCTTATATAGGGTTTCTGAGGAGCAGCTGATGGGTTTGAACTTCTGACTTTCTGGCTCTCCATCCAGTGCTGATCCTACAGCACCACACCAGGAGGACTCCAGTATGTCCTGATAATCCAGTTGTTGTTGTTGTTGTTATATACCTTGGAGTCGGTTCCAACTCATAGTGACACTGCACAGGGTTTCCGAGGCTGTAAATCTTTACGTGAGCAGAACGCCTCATATTTCTCCCATGAAACAGCTGGTAGTTTCGAACTGCCAACCTTGGGGCTTAGCAGATCGATTCATAACCACTATGCTTATGCCCTAATAATCCAGTATGTCCCAGGAATCCAATATGCCCTAATGAAAGAGGAGAAAAGACACGCCAACAGAAGACAGAGTTATGCTGTAGGAACACCTGGGGCAAGACAAGGAAGGGTCTTCGCCTAAAACTTTGGAGACAGCATTAGCATGCATCCAGTCTCCAGGACTCAGATAAGAGGGTCTGCTTTTCTAACTCCCGGTTTGTGGTCCTGCGTCCTGAAGGATGCCGCTCAGCCACTGCTCGCTTAATGTTTGGGTTCTTCCAAGAGATGGTCAACCTCTCTAGGGCATGGTCCATGGTTATCTTACAGACAATCATTGGTCCCCAACGCCCTAAAAAGTCACTGGTGCATCACTGAAACCAATGAGTATTTGTGAGGTGCTTTAATGAAGGTAGGAAACAAAACTGCACTTTGAGGAGTTCACACAGTCGTCACAACTACGAATCTACCAATGGTCCTAAAGACAGCGCAGGGCTGGGCCTTGATTCTATCTCATTCTACTGTGGAGACAGTGAAACAACAGCAAGGGGCAACACCAACTCAGGCAATGGGGCAGTCACTGGTGCACTTTTCTAGAATGTTCACACCTGCTCAGACTACCTGGGAAATACACTGTCTTCCTGCATTATTCTAACACATTTCTAATGGGAGGGAAATGGGAAGTCATCTTCGGCCTGATTTCTCTGGAATCGCCTTAGCACAGCTGAGCAGCTGGTTCTCTGGAACCTGATCCAGAACCTGTAGGGTCTGAAAGTCCACAAATCTGAGGACAGTGCACACCCTCACTGCCTCGAGTTTCCAGGGATAGTCCAGGCTGTGAACCCTTGACTCAGAGTTTCCGCAGACTCAGCTTCTCCCTCCAGAACAGCCGATGTGCTGGCAGCATCTCTGCCAGGTACTGACTTTCCGCATCACGTGCACAGAACTGATTCACACGGACTCACAAGTGGCTGCAGCCCTGAGAAGATGTTGAATATTCAGGCTGTTTAATCATTGTGCCTTGATTAGACATCATCAGCGTCAAGAACACAATCTAGCCAAAAGAAGTTTAATTCTTCACTGGGTTCCGGAGTCTAGCGTCTGTCAAGCACTTTGATAAAGGCTTTGCGTTGCCAATTTAACGTGAGGTAAAATAACAACACTTAACAACAACATTAAAATCAGTAAAAAAGGTAACCAACTCCTATCTGAAATGCAGGCGTTTAAATGCTGCCTTCCTCCATTTCAGTTCATTATTAGAGCATTATGAAGAAAAATTAAGATTTTGTTTTTCCTTGTAAAATCCCCAGGATGCTCAGATGCCTTCCAGGGAAACCTCTCCGGTATGGCATGAACGGGGGGTCAACACAATATGGGTGATGTTTAAGGGGAATCAGAAAGACTAGCCTTGGAGTTCTGGGGACTCTGAAGTTTTTACATCCTACTATGTCCTCAAATCCTCCTTATTTGTCTAGTGGGGTTAAGTGAGGGCTTGGCAGTCGAATCCCTCTGCTGTTATTTCTTACTGACTGGGCGTCCATGAGTAAATGAGGCAGTGATAATCCAGTGGTATCCAATTCTTGCCTTCCACGCAAGAGACCCCGGTTCGATTCCCGGCCAATGTATCCCATGGGCATCCATTACCCATCTGTCAGTGGGGGCTTGTATGCTGCTAGGATGTGGAACGGGTTTCAACGGAGCTTCCAGACTAAGTCAGACTAGAAAGAAAGAGCTGGTAATCTTCTGAAAATCAGGCACAGAAAACCCTATGGAGCCAAGCATCAGCTAAGCACTAATGGTAGCTAACAGCACCGAATCCTTGAGTGTACTAACTGTTGTTAATCTCAGTTTCACTATAAAAAGTGACAGATTCCAATCAGAATCCTAAGGGGGTGATTGCTTACTTGTTTGTTATTAGTGGAACTTAAGGTGATTCTCAAGTTTATATATATATGTTGGTGTGATTGCTATGATGTCACGTTGAGTCGGTTCTGACCCATAGCGACTCTGTATATAATTTCCAAGGAGCTGCTGGTGAGCTTGAACCACTGACCTTATGGTTCGAAGTGACTTTGTAGTCTGGTGCATTACCCCACAGCAGCACACCAGGACTCCAAGTTTATATATAAGAGGAAGAAAAAAACCCAAAAACAAGAATAGCCAAGAAATGTTTTTGTTCTTGATGTGAAGCTCTTCTGAATTGGTTTGGACTCATAGCTAAACCAATAGAGTTTCTGAGGAGCAGCTGGTGAGTCTGAAGTGCTACCCTTGTGGTTAAGAGTCCAGTGTTTATCCTACAGCACCACACCAGCCCAGAGACAGCCTGAAGAAAAACAAACTGGGAAATGCTATGAGTTTGTTAAATAATTTTGGGCTTGATTAAAAGGGAGTGATGACTAACCTATTCAGAGAGGTGTCAATTGAATGAATCATGCGTTCATGTGTTTATTCCCGAAAGAAGTTAAGGGATACAATCTCTCTCATCTCAAGAAGAGAAGAGCTTTCTTTTCTCCCGTGGCACTTAGCCAATTTAGTACTGTACTGAAAGGAAAAGAGGAAAAAGGACATAAAAAGCCAGCTAGTGATAAAATCAGATTGGAAGCAAGAACGTTAAAATACTTTGTCTATAAAATCAACACATAAAAAATCAACTGGGTTCCTTTATGCAAACAATAAAAAGTCGGAAAAGAGCATTAATAAAACCAGCACATTTATAATACCACCAAAAAAGATAAAAGTAGCTAGGAATCAACATAACAACAGTGCAAAATACTTATGCGATGGAAACTTTTAAATGTTACCACGAGAGACTTACAGAAATGAAGAGATCTGTGCTCACGGATATTGTGAGACTTAATATTGTAAAAAATGTCAATACTACCAAAGTGATCTACAAGTACAATGCAATCTCCATCAAAATCCCAACAGCATTCCTTATTGAGATGAAAAAATTAGTTGCCTACTTTATATGAAAAGGAAAAAGGCCATGAATAGCCAAAGCAATATTGAACAGGAAGCACAAAGTAGGAGGGCTCACACTCCGGATCTTAACATGTACCATGTTGTTGTTACGTGCCGTGGAGTTGGTTCTGACTCAGAGTGACAATGTACAGAGTTTCCCAAGGAGCAGCTGATGCCTTTGAACTGCCAATCTTGTGGTTCACAGTCCAGTGCTTATCCTTCATTGCCACACCAGGTGTCCAACACATATTGTACAGTCATGGCCATTAAAACCACCTGGTACTTGGAGAACAAACAAGATGGCAGATCGGGTAGAC